TTTTTTTTTTTTTTTTTTTTTGTTCAGATAGAGCGGGAGGGAGAGACAGGAACAGAGAGAGAGGGAAACATCGATGTGAAGGGACACATCGAGTGGCTGCCACCCGCACGACCAACCAGGGCCGGGGACAAACTGCAACCGAGGTACGTGCCCTTAGCGGGAACCGAACCCGGGTCTCTCTGTACCGCAGGCCGACGCTCCAACCGCTGAGCCAAACCGGCCAGGGCGACAACTGAGAATTTTAATTGAAACAATACTGTCGTCTATAAACAGGCACATCCAAAACATATTTAAATCACTTGAGCACTTGATTTTTCCATGTCCTATGCATCTAGATTGAACAGACCACAGGAAATTTCATATCAATAGCTGAATCTAAAAGAAAAAAAATCCATTTAGTTATCATGATCAATGTCACCATCAATCCCTAATATCTTACACTTTTCTATCTGCACTTAACTCTGCTCTACTGCTTTATGGTTAGGAGAAGACAAATCATCAATCAATTATGTACACTGATTAGAAATGCTACCTTTAGGAGGCATTTTAATAACTCAGTATCAGGGGTGAGTATTTCTTTTAATTGCTTACTTTAAAACATATTCAATAACACTTTAGCCAGGATGCACTGAGCATTCGCAAACACTTAATGCTACAGTCTACATAAACTATCAAATTGTCCCCACCCATAATGGTGGTATAATTCTACAACTGGTTGAAGTCACATGAAAAATAGAATTATATGCTAATTTGTTTTTATATTAATTTATCATAGAATGTCTAACCAAACACAGTAAAATGAATTCTAGAAAAAATTAACTAAGTAGACTGGTATGTATCATAGCAAAGTAAATTGTTTATCTCAATAGATACAAATACAACAAAGATTTTTCAAACGGGCATTTTGTCCTTTTCAAAAAGTAAATGTTTTAACCAACACAAGGCAATGACCTGCATGATTTAAAAACACTTCAGTTTTCCCCTAAAGGATTACAAGGGCAGGTTATTTTATTTCAAGGAAGAAAAGAAATTGAGAATGGCATAGTACCCAAAAGAGAATAATTTGCCCAGAAAAAGCTTTACGGTATCTACATACTTATTAAATTTAATTCACATAAATAGTTCTACACAAGTACTGTAAAATGAACACATAGGTTTAAACTAAATGATGGGGTCAAGAGGTATAGACTATAATACATCTATTATTTTACTCCAAAATAAACTAAACAACACAGATGTTTTCCTTAGCATAGATTTGTCTGAAGAAGGTATGTTTTATTTTTTTATAAAGTTATTAAAAATCTATATCGATTTTTTTCCTGGAAGGCATATCTATCTGTACACATGCCTTATCCATACATAAATAAGTTCTATGGATACTCCATCGACTTAAAAAAACTATAAATCAAATTAATAGTTGAAGAATTTGGACTACCAAGTTTTATATATGATGGCAGTATATCCCTCATATTTCTATTTTCAAAGGTTCTTTTATGGAAAATGGGAAAGAATTTGGGGGTAGGGTGATGGAGAAACAAAATTTTACAGCATTTAAAATCATGGAACCAGTACTCTATAAAGCATCTAGTTTATTGCAGGACACAACTAAGACGAGTGACAGAGATCATCTGTGTCCCACCCTTAGGCAAATACTTGGAAAAAATGATTAATTTCTGTTTTAGAGTCTATCCCTTTTTCCATTAAAAGATATGTTTATGTTTTTCATTTTATTGCAATATTTCCAATGCCAATGGTACACAAGAACTAGCACGCATAAAGAGCCATGTTCTTGAAATCAAAACTCATTTTTAATTTCCAAAGGGACTTTACCTATTGCTTTTAATAAGACTTTATTATTATTAGTTATCATAAACTATGCTAAGTTCCTATGAAATATCAGTTTGACATCTTGTTCAAATACTTTCTTTTCCGCTAATATATTACCAGCATTGTTTATCCTATTTTCTTTCTCCTTACCAAGTTAGATATGGAGGTACGTATTCAGGCACAAAAATCTTCAGGCTCCTTAAAGAACTATAAAATAAAGCTATATACTTCTTTGCTATCATTCTTGTTTGAAGGATCTTATGTATTGAGATCTTAATCCATAAAAAGGTGAGAATTACATTTTAAAAAGGGGGAGAAGGCTGACAAAAATGAAAACACGCACTGATGCCCACAATATCAGGACTTAAGTAAATTAATCTTCATTCCCACTGAAAGCAATCTGATGTCCAGGGACTGGGAATTATTCTACCATAAAATACGGCACATTAAATACTACAATAACCCATTTAAAATGTCTAAAGATAATTATTATGTCATCTACAAATGATTGTACATATAGTTATATTTTAATATTCATTACTGGAGGTTCTAATGCAAAATATGTTGAAATTGCAAAAATATTAAGTGGGTTAAAAATAAGATTAAGCAAATCAGTCGCTAACCTATGACTAAAAGTAAGACTCCAAATAATAAGATTTGAAAAAGACTGGATAAAAGCAAGGGCGAAATATTTGGACCCGGGGTTCTCACAAACAGCACTATCATTCCTGATGGTTTTCATATAAAATTCCTTATCTCCACTAGCTAGTTGAAAAGAATGAAAAGCTTCTTACAACCAGCTAAAAAGAGTCTATACCATACTCCTTGAAAAAGCTCATTTTCACATTACTCAGGCTTCATTATGCTAAATCAATATTCGTTTAGTCACTGGGGTTATTGACATATTTTAAAATAAAAGTATACCCTTCAGCTACTGCACTCATTACAGGTAATTTGTCTTGTCAGAGAGCAGGGAATATTATCCTAGTCTTTCAGGGGCTGACAGCCCATGGAAATACCTCCCCATGGTTACAACTGTAAATAATTTTAAGGTAAAATATTGAAAAATCAATGACTGTTTCCTGCAATCTGTCACAAACAAATCAATCATAATCTGCACTGCCAGAGAGTATGATGTGAAGGAGATGGGAGCAGATGTAATTCTTGGCTGGAATCTCTCATTTCAAAATCACTTCACATAATGGTGTCATCATTTAAACACTTAACAGTCAGTGCAACTGCCACTGTAACATCTAGTCCGACAAAACCACAAGGAGGAGGAGGAGAAAATGCCATCACTATTATGTTAACAAACATTTAATTTAAATGGTTGCTGCATTAGGAAATTCCAGCTGAAATCAGTTTTACCTGCCCCTTTCAGAGTTCTAAATTAATCAAGGCTGTTCTGCTGCGTACTAATGCTTAATAAATTAGCCCATGACTCAAAATTTTACTTTCTAAAGCATGTACATCTTTTATTTTAAAGGTCCATTATAGAGAATAAAATTTGGAATTAATAAATAAAACATTTGGTATAGCCATAATTCTATCTACATAACAAAGACAAAAATAGTGTCATAGATGTCAAGATTATACTTTTAAAGTAGGTTTAAAGGTCTCAGTTGCCCAGATATTAAATTTTATATTTTCCTTCTATTAATAAATATTACATTTTAACTTGGTAATTTTGTAGAATATTTTAAGCTAACCAGCAAGACCTATTAGTCAATTCAAAAAGATCTTTGCATTCCATATACAAGCTATTTCATAGACTGATATTTTACAAACTGGAGTAATAACCCAAGTATATGAAGTGCAAAAGTTGGTCAAGGTCATAATACTGAATTGTTTTGAAAATGTAAACTGCTTTCCAAGTAATCACTTTGATATCACCGTATTTTTCTAGGCTACATTTTAATGGCTTCCTAAGCTGTTTACTACCTAGGCATGAATAAAAGAATCTGAGATTGGTATATTTCCCCCTTCTTGTTGTGTTAACCAAAAACATCATTTGATTTCAAGATTAAAGCGGCTTTTCCTAAAGCGTTTTGTTTTTAAATGTATACTTGCTCCTTTAATGAAAGAAATTAATTTTAGTTACCACACTGCTTACCAATTTTCTCATTATATAATTAAACATCATGAAGCCCTTTATTGTTCTACTAATGTCCTTCCATAGGTATAGTTCAGGGAGTAGATATTTTTGATGACTAGAAAAGTGTATCATTTTTCTTAAAACTGAAAAAATATATAAACATCTTTACACAATTTAAGCCTATATAAACATTTTTAGATGTAGTAACTAGTCCTTTATAAAAGGGTTTTATGTTTTTAAGTTAACCTGCATAGTCAATGTGGTAGCATAGCATGAGAAGACAGCCGCTTTTCTTATGGATACAAATTGAACATAGTATTTGTTCTTCAAGAATCTTAGATTCATTCTTTAACACCAACATTAGGTTTTTCAAAATTAAACAGCATGTAAATAAATTATTAAAGATATCATCCAGAATAATATAGAGTCCTCCATTCCATGAATCCCTGCAACAGCTGCAAACTAAGCAGCAAGCCAACATAATGAGAGGAAAAGGAAAGTATTACTCGTATCCTAGGATTATGCAAAATATGGAAAGGAACTTAAAGCTGTGAACTAGAAGGAGCCTCGTGTGTGAGCTCCTGGCCCACTGGAGCTGCCGAGGCTGGGCCCAGCTAACTCGGTGCCAGAGCTCTGGAACCAGTTGTCAAGCACCAAGTCTCCCACGCAGAATTTGGTTGTGGAGGGCAGTAAGCTGTCCTGCAGAGAGAGCATTCCCCCAGAGAAGGCAACAAAGACTGGGAGGTAAATGAGGACAGTTAAGCAACCTGCTAAATGCATCCACATCAACGACAAACTAAAATGACATCTACTAGAACTGTGCAGGCCACCATCACAGATCGAATTCTCAGAAAGACGCTATTTTAAGGGTGCTGAGTATGCCTAGATGAGATTTCTCAGCTCTCCCAACACAACCCATAGCCCTGGGAGAAGCAGCTCAAAAACTTAGCACAGGAAGATCAGATCATTTTCATATCTCAAATATAAAGAAATTGCTGTCTGCTAGATACAATTCTTGCATGTAATAAAGGCTTAGGATTATAGAGGAAAGTATTCTTTTTTAAAAAGATAATATTACCTCCCTATTTTCAGAATCTCCTCCTTCCAATAGTCGGTACAGTAGCTCCATTATGAACTGTAGATTCTTAAAAAGAAAAACAGCAATAGTTAGCTTCATCTTTCCTACTACTTCTTTCCTTATGGAATTACAATTTAATCACCAATACTTCAATTGATTTTATTCCTGAATGATACATTTCTCAAAGAGTATACTCTAGCTTTTTCCACTAGAGAACATTTACTACAACCTTCTCAATTAATCAACCATAACCTCTAACTGCTGAAGGGACACGTTTTCTTCATATTCTCAAAACAGTAGGGAACCTCCCTCCCACCACACACACAAAATATTTATTTTATATAAAAGGAGTCTTAGTTTTAATATGTTTGGATACCATTAATGTACATGACATATGAAAGTTAATATATTTTGGCTGACAACATATATAAAACTCAGCCAATTCACATCCATGCTTAGATTTTTCCTATATTTATCCTTAGGAGGAAAAAAAAACCCCAATCCGCTTATCTTTTAAATTCAACAACTTTACACACGGTTTAAAAAACACAGGGAAAAAAATAAGCTTAAAAGTAAACAAAGAGAAATCAGAATGCTCACTGCTTAAAATGTTCTTTATATTTGTGTTGTGTATTTTTTAACTTGCTGTAATGCTTCAGCTCTTGGTCATATATGAAACATCAACTCCATAAGACCCAATCAGTGACAGGGTAACACAAGTGTGTTATTTAAGTACAATTATATATTACTTTGTATTACGTTAAAAATCACTTCCATGCTTTTGAAAGCATTCACAGAGAAGCATTTGTTCTATTGCAGCCCCTATAAACTACAGAAGTCTTCTGTAAAATTAGCTTTTTTTTTTTTGGCCACACAACTATCTCTTTTTACTTAACAAAATGTTCCCTATCATTAAATCCAGTTCCTTGCACTCCTCACTCCACAACACAGATATTTTGCAAAACAATTTTTTTCTCATAGCTTTTCTCATCTGCTTGTATTCAGCAGCCCCTACTTTGATGAAAAATGACAAGTTTTACACACAACTGTGTTCTCCTTGTCATTTAAAGAGTTTGGTACTCATGACTGGAGCTGATACTCCAACTACATTTATCCTGAAATGAACTGGGTAGTGAAAATAATCAAAAACTGTAACTTGGTATAAACAGATTATTTCCTTTAAATAATAATTCTATTTTTATAAAATATAACCTTAGCCTTAATTTTTATGAAAAGTGCCGAGTTTATAAATGTCACTATCCAATGATATCATTAAAAATAAATTATTCAGAGAATTTCCACGAATCAAATTTTTTTCTACTCCTGAACCTTTGTTTAATGTATTAGTAAAATTAGATAATCAAAGGTCTTGAGTGACATTCTGTACTTAGTCTCTATTAGCAATATAAATACTTTGGTAAAACCAACACTGATGCTATCTGGGTTTTACTCCACACACAAGCACACTGTGCAGACACTCACTTTCAGATGAGCCTGGGGATGTACGAGGACAAAGGTCAGCCAACATTTGGAGGAACCCCATAGCTCAGAAGTCAACTTAGCTGAAAACATCCAAAATGCATTGTGGAAGCACCATACTTATCACCTGCACAGAAAATGAAAATGATTCTGTTTAAGGAAACACAGAAGACTAAATACTTTGGGGATATTAAATATGAATATCTAATCTAATTTTCTCCAAGGTATCACTCTACATTATGGCAAATGAACAAATAAAGGCCCTATCAAGGTGTGGAATATCATTAGTATGAGAAAAGGCTAGAAAAATGAATTACATAAGTGACAACTGCAGAAGAAAATTATATTCCCTTCTCCTGAACAAATGTTAAGTGCATCCTTACTAATAAAGACCTAAATTCAAACTACATTAGAATATACTGGTTTTCAATTTTGAAGCATCTAAGTTAATTTGCCAAGCTAAATTGGTGGTTAGGTTTATTCTGGCTATAAAAATACTACAGATTTATGCAGAAATAAATCATAAGAATCATACTTCAGAATAGCGATAAAGCAAACCAGCGTCATTATTGAATAAGAAAAAAATAATTCCAAGATTTTATATCTTCTTAGAGTTGCACCAACTGCTATTCTATTAAGAACAATTATTCTCTATAAAACAGCTAATAATTATACCAAAAAGATGTTAAAAATGCAGAAGCCAACACAATGTAGAAATGGAAAGGAAATATACAAAGATATTGAGATATTACCACACAAAACAGGCTGTGCTATCTCAGAGTTAAAACATTATTCCAAAATATAATACTGTTTTCATAACCTCTAATTCACTCAGGATTACATGATTTCATTTACTTGTATGTTATCACCTAAAGAACATTTAAATTTTTCTTAAGATGTCTATAATGTAAAAATATATCCACAATTATTCGTGTTATTAATTAAAATGAATGATAGGTAATTAGTTCACATTCCTATTTCATTTCTTTTAACACAGCATATCAAATTTTAAAGTAACACATGGAAAATAGCATGGGGATGCTGATATAGCTGACAGAAAAAAAAATTCTGGTAGGGGAGTTGGGGGATAAGTAAAGCAATTATCCTCAAAATTAATGCTCTTGTTTTAATTTCAGCAAACAAATCTAAATAAGTCTTTCTTTGATTTTAGTTTACCATGTAATTCTAGCCAGCTAATTATCCTTAGAGTCAAGAATGAGCTGTGACTCTACACCTGGCTTCTCCGATCATATATGCCTATGGCCCCCTTCACTTTCATTTCCTCCTTCTACAATGAGTTGTAATATTAAAGAAAAACACTCACACATCTTACATACACACTGATGGACAGCCAGCTTCCAGGAAATCATGATCTACAAAGAGAGGAGGAAATCTTAATGCACTACTTATGTTAAAGGGTATTAGGTGCTGGGTAAGCCAAGGGTAATATGATCAACAGTATCCGTCTTGCTATTGTTTTTGCACTCAGAGATTTGAAGTCAAGGACAGTAATATTAATTTAGTGATCGCCCAGGTTATGATTCAGATCCTTACACTACTAAGGGGCTAAATGCATTATCTTCACTTGCTCATCAATTCAAATTTACAGAACAATATTTTGGAAAAAATAAAACAGGTTTTTTTTTTAATTTCTGGAAATAAAAACAAGGCATTCCATAAGCAATGTAGCTAAGTACTTGATGATATGAAAAAAAATAGTTTTAGATCATTAAAACACTCTAGGGGAATGTTTTCCAAATAATGAAGTGGCATAGATGCCTCATACAGTTACCTTTTTATTTCTGTTTCTGCATATCAAGTGTGCCTTCCTCTACAGATTTATTCTGAACACTAATAAACATTTGCTTAATATACTGCTCTATGCTTTTCATTCTAAATTACTAACCACTGTTGACAAAGATACAGCACAAAGAAAGCCGACACAGGCATTGCCTAAAAACCACACGTAGTTATTAGTACATGGCAGAACACTTAACATTAAACTACCATTTCCCCTAAAACTTCTGCTGCCAAAGTGCTCACAAAATCTGGAAGCTCCAAGACAGGTTTCAAGTGCAATTAAATTCTCCAAAAGCAAAACTGTACAAAAATATGCCACCCTTCTTATGTCACCATTTTATAGACAACATTTTCTCAGGATCTTAATTAAGATAATGATGCACACCTGTGTCAACATTCTCTGCTAGGACAGCCTTATCAATCATAATCCTTTAAGTACACTCCAAAACAGCAAAGTGATGTGACAGAAGCAATCTGTTGCCTTTCCTGGTGTCAGTGTTGTGTCTCTCCCACAAGAATGATGAGATCTTCAAAATACAGCGGACCTACTTTTATGAGTCTTTAAAGTTTTAACTGTAAACAGTTATTACACTAAATAAACAGGAATAACCTCTTTTGCACCCGATTTAAACAATGACAACTCGACAGCCCAAACTCGAGGAGCAAGCTCGATGGCCATGTCTTAGCAGTACCACCGTGGGTCTTGCTTTAAAGCTTGAAGTTTTAAGAGTTACGCATAACTGGACCAGAGCAGGCAGGACAAACCCATGAATCCTTGGGAAGCTTTGGAATGAGAAAATGTAAAGTCCGACATGAAAAACAATCAAGACAGACCCATCCCTAGTCTAAGTTCAAGTGTTCGGAAAGATGAAACGCAACGGTCAGCCCCCCCACACCCCCGAAGGAGGGCCGCCTCGGGACCCCGGAGCGAGAGGGAGGTGGCTCCCCCCTGCCGGAGCGCGTGGGAGCCCGGGAGCGGCAGCCCAGGGGAACGCCGCCGACGGGCACGCGGCCGGCCCAGACGCCGGAGCGGATGGGCGAGGGCGGACGCGGCAGGGGGAAGGGGAGAAGGGTAAAGTACTGTCACACCCCCCGGATAAAAAGTTAAAACCTCGTGTTGACGCACGAAAACGGACAGAACCGCCAGGTGCTACCTGGGAGCCGGCTGCCTGCGAAGGACCCGCTGTCCCCTTCGCTTCTGCACCCACGTCCGCCCGGGCGGGCCGCCGGCCTCGGCAGGGAGCCCCCCGAGCGCGAACACGGCCGGAAAGAGAGACATCCTCGAGAAATGAGTCTGAAGCGTGACGTGGGGCGGAGGTGACAACCACAGCACCGGGGCCACACGTGCTGAGGCGTCCACGTCTTCCGGCTCTCCAGGCCCGGCGCCGGGCAGGAGGCCGGCTGGAGGCGGGCGGGCGGGGCGGGCGGGGCGGCCGGCGGGGACGCTGCAAGGAGGCTGTCTGGGGACTCGGCTTCTCGGCGCGCAAACCTCCGCGGCTCCACTTCGGGTCGGCGTCCTGGCGCGCTGGCAGGGGCAGCCGCCGCGCGGATGGGGGACACCAGGGGAGGCCCGCTTCACACTCGCGGGGCCCCGGCCCCGGGGCGCTCGGCGGCGCACTGCCGCGTCTGTCGGGTTCACGAGGGGACGCGGCTCGGGGGGCGGGAGGCCCGGGCGCGACCGGGTGGGGAGCCGGCGGGATGGGGGGGCAGGGCTCACCTCTCCGTGGCGTCGCGGGAGCGCGGGCCGCGGACGCTCCCTCGTGGCCGACGCGAGCCCCCGGCGGGCGGCGCGCGCGGGCCGCTACCGACCGTTACCGCGAGGGGCTGAGGCGGCGGCGGGCGGAGCCGGGGGCGGTCGCTGAGCAGCAGAGGGGCCGAGAGGCGGGAGCGGAGGGAGCAGGGCGGGGACACTCCGAGGCGCTCCCTGCGACCCCCGGGGCCCAGCCGCGCCCGGGAGGACACCGCCCCTTGGCTGGCTGAGCGGCGGCCGCGGGCCGGCTCCGCGCTCCGTCCTCATCGGGCTGTCCGGGCCGCTGGCCTCGCCCCAGCCTCGGCAGGCTCGCAGCCACCTCAGCCGAGCTGTGCCCGCCACCGCTGCCTCCGGCTTCCCGTCTCCATGACAATAGCGCGCGGACGCCCCGCCCCGCCCCGCCCCCTCGGCGCCGTGACTCGAAGGGAGGCGGGCTCACGTCCTCGGGGGACGGAGTCAGTGGAGGCCAGCGTCCAATGAGAGGTGAAGGCAGGAGAGACGGGCCGCGGGGAGCGCAACGGTCCTGCGAATATCCGCTCTGAGGGGCGGAGCCTGAGGAAGCTGACGAAGGGGAGGAGTCCGCGCGCGTGCGCGTAGTCGCGCAAATCGCGCAGCCCAGCGTTGACCAGTGTGCAGAGTGGGTTTGAGTGCCGGGGCAGGAGCTCCGGAAATAAGTGTGTCTCGCCCGTCAAAGTTACTGCGGGACACTTTGTGTCTAGTCGTGCTTCGGCTTGCGTGTGATCCCAATATAAAAGGCCACAGGTTCCCTGATATATTGAGCTCCAGAGGAGTGCCCAACAATATGCCAGCTCCTGTCCTGGTTCACCAGCGCCCCTGTCTGTCCCCGAGATCGAGTGCCTCTGTGGCTTGTCGCGGCGCGGGCTGGAGGGACCAGCAGATAGTCTGTTCTGTATTCTAACTGCTTGGCCATCTTGGGCAAGGGCCCTGCCTGTGACTCAGTTGTGTGTTTGCCTTGCCAGCGCCTCGTTGAACAAACAGTGGTTGGGTTGGGCACGGCTCTGCGGAGTGTTTACAGTGCAGCGGGTGTGAGAGTACTTGCGAGGGGAAGGGGACCCGCATCCTCCACCACCACCAGGGGCCTTGGCGGGGCGAGCTTCGGATGGAAAACGCCCAGAACGAACCAGCGAGGCATGGGACGGGTGGGGAGGGCAAGTGGGGTCCGGAGACCTGCTCCTGTGTAGCTGCTGCTCCGTCTGGAAGCTTTTGCTCACTGCCTCCCCTCTGGAGAAAGGCTATCCCTACACGTCCCAGGTCCCCGCTGTCTTCTCCCTCGAAGCCTGGCGGGGAGCTGGTGGAAGAAAGACTGGGTCTGATACGTGATGGTCAAGGCTGGTCTCTTGTCTCTTGCCCACCTGCTGCTGCTGCTGGAGGAGAGAAACAGTCATCCCAACTCCCTGCGCCTCAAATGAGGGCATTCACGGGGTTCTCCCAGGGACTTTAATTCCAGATCTTCGACTAGTTCTCGGGCCCCTGCCTTGTGGGAGAAGCCAGGGGCGGCTGGGTGGCGATCCGCCTCGGAACCCAGCCTCCCGGCGAACAAGGAATCCGCTAACTCCGCGATTTACTGTGGCAGGGAGAAAGCAGAGCATTCGCCAACTCGCAGTCCTCCGCCTCGTTCCCTGTTCCCTTTGTGCTTCGGAGCGACCAGACCCGCCACCAGGACCCCTGGTGCGTCGGAATTGCTGCTCCACCCGGACTCAGCCAAGGAGGAAAGTTGGAAGAGATCGGCGCGCCTGGGATGTGATTGTCATCCTGGGGCCGGCGCTCGAGAGTCTGAGAGAGAGAGAGAGAGAGAGAGAGAGAGAGAGAGAGAGAGAGAGAGAGAGAGAGAGAGAGAGAGAGAGAGAGAGAGACCGGGGAAGGGAGGGGGGAGAAAAAGAGGAGGGTGGAGAGTAGGGCTGCAGAGGAGAGGCGGGCACGAGGGAGGGGCGAGGGGAGCGCGAGCGAGCGGGAGAGGGAGCCGGGGAGGAAAAGGGAGAGGGCGAGGCGCGCCTGGCGGCCGGGTTGGCTGCGGCCGCCCAGAGGCTCCTGCCAGTCCAACCACCGACTACACCCCGTGAAGGAGGAGCTTCAGGCGCGCACAAGGCGTCAGAATCCTCAATTTCCAACTTAGCATCTTGGCAGGACCTTTGCGAAGCCAAAAGCAGAGCCCCCCAGTGCAAAGAGCGAGGGGGAAAAAGAGAAAGCAGCAAGGGAGGGGGGGAAACACTGCCGGGACGAGCGAGGAGCGCAGAGGAGCGGGCTCGGCGGTCACAGCCGGAGGCGCGCGGGAAGCCAGCGAAGAGGTGCTGCGAGCCTGAGCCCGGGAGCCGGGGCCCGAAGAGCAGCGGCCCGGGGCAGCCGAAGGCCAGGTGCCTGCCCGCTCGCCCTCGCAGGGCGCCGCCCGGCTCGTTGGCGGCCGCGGCGCGGCGCGCCCCATGCCCGTGTGTGGCCATGTCCTACCCGCAGGGCTACTTGTACCAGCCATCCGCCTCGCTGGCGCTTTACTCGTGCCCCGCGTACAGTACCAGCGTCATCTCGGGGCCCCGCACGGATGAGCTCGGCCGCTCGTCGTCGGGCTCCGCGTTTTCGCCCTACGCCGGCTCCACCGCCTTCACGGCGCCCTCGCCGGGCTACAACTCGCACCTCCAGTACGGCGCGGACCCAGCCGCGGCCGCCGCGGCCGCCTTCTCTTCGTACGTGGTGAGTGAGCTGGAGCCGCGGCGGGCGAGGGCAGCTGGGGCCGCGCGGGGCGGGCAGGGGCTGCGGGGACTTAGGGCCTCAGCGCCACCGCGGACCGCTCCGGCCAAGCTTCACAGCCCTTG